GATTCAAAGACTTTCTTTTCCTCCTTGAGATAAGAGTTATGCAATCTGGGAGTCTTTTATATAGACCCACTGAAGGGGTACTCCAATTGCCTCATCCTGTGTCCCTGTTCAGCATGGAAGAAGTCAGAGCGGTCTGCAATTTGGGTAACCTCTTCAGAGGATGGTGTCTTAAAGGTAGGAGGTAGGAATTGGCTAGGCGGTTAGGGTAAAGAGATCCCAAAGAAAAGTAACCAGTTTCTTGGCTAACTCACAATGACCTTGGGCCTCTTAGCAACCTACTCCATTGCAAAGGTCAAAAATGTCAAAAATCTTTGGGAGCTTTTATCTAATTCTTAAAAGGTTTTAGGGTTACCTATTCAGAAGGGGGAATGTTAGAGTAGCCAAAAGCTCCATTAAAAAATAAATTAAAGAAGAAGAAGGAGTACATTAAGTTTTCAGAAAAAAAGTGATGGGGAAATATGGGAGGAGTTGGAGGGGAGCGAGGGGGCATGGATTTGATCAAAACACCTTTTATGCATATATGAAATTCTCAATAAATTATTTTTTTTAAATAAAATATTTAGTCCACTGTTTCCTCTAACATTCTTTTATTATTATCAGAACATGACTTTGTTGTTCCCATAAAAACCCGTCATCTCATTTATTTGGATAGTGTTCCCTGGAAAAGGTACTGCTTACCTAGGAAAGTATATGCAATGTACCTCCATGGTTTAAATTAATTCAAGGTACTATTGAAAAAGTGAGGGAGTTCACATGGTAATCTAAGTTTAAGAAATATTTTATTCAACTTTTGTGGATTTATAATATTCCTCAGCATATTAAAAATCCTAACAAGTACTCCCAAAAGAGTAAGGTTCCATGATTTGCCAAAAGAGAAGATATTACTAGATATTATAATTTATATTACCACAACATCAAGTGTTTCATCAAGGATTTTGATAAGAAAACAGACTTAATTGTTCATTATTTTAAGCTTCCATTATTAGTGAAGCTGCATAGCAATAGCCTGCCCAATTTTGAAATGTGGTGTTACAATGGACGCTGCATGATTTGCAATCAGACAGCCCTGGGTTGTAATCTTAGGCTAGCTGTTTACTAGCTGTGTTATCTCTGCAAGTGCTTTCACACTTCTTTCTGTACTTCAGTTTTCTCATAAGTAAAATGGCAATCATAACATTCACCTCAGAGAGTTGATGAAAGTATTAAATACTCCAAGTACTTAGCAAATAGCTAGCATATACAAGGTCTTATACAGTACTTATACTTGTGTTAGCACATAGCAGAAATTGTGTCAGGCAAAGGACTGCAGACCAGAGAACTATAAGCATTCCAAGATGCTTCTCAATAATTATCAACTTTTTCATGGGAAAATAGCTGAAATCTTGCCAGTCCAGAGACTTGAGCTCCAAGGTATTTCTTGTCTCTTTGGTTGTGAGCCTGAGCCTTTAATGGCTGCACCAGCTCTCCAGCCTGTGCTCCAAGGTATTTCTATAAATATTTCCTTTTAATACTGAATTACACTGGGCTTATTTACTTGTAACTATTGCAGAGAGAAGGATGTTCAGTTTCTCAGCAGGACAAAGAGAATCCTGTGCAAAAAGCTGCCTGCCACTGATAACAAATTAGTAGTATTTTAGGAGGCCTGGAGTCTGGGGAAGGTGCTTTTTGTCTGTTAGTGGGTAAAAGTAGGTTATTAGCAGACATAATAGAGTCAGCCATAAAGAACTTATTTGTAATCTGTATCATTTCAGAGACCTGGAATACACCACGACAAGGTTTATAATTCACAGTATGAGAGTAAATAACCTGAACGGGATATTTGGCTGTTTCTGGATCCCCTGGAGTCTTTTAGCACAAGTGAAGTGCGTGTGAATTTGTAGGGAATAAAGACATCTTTTTCAGTACATTGAACAAGGAAATTATGCATAGAACTTCTGCTTCTGTGTGCAATGAGAGCGAAGAATTTAACATCTTGCTCACCAGAAAGAACTCACTCCTTTTCCAGCTCTGCTCCCATGCATAGCAGTCCAGTTGCTGCTGAATGTGCCTCTCTCAGAATACTGACCTGTCTGGGATGTAGGAAATGTGTAACGGCTATGTTTCTGTTTCCACAGCAAGAGATGACGAGCCTTCTGGATAATCTGTAAGATTGAAAAGTACAAGTGAATCCTATGGCCTGAGTGTGTCCCTCAAAGGTTCTGTTTGTCCCCCAGTGTGACAGAGTTGAGGTAGTGGAACATGTTATAAATGAGCCTAGCAGAAAGCAATTAGGCCACTGGGGGTTCTGGCCTCAGAAGAGAATATTATACTACATATGGAACCCTGGATAATGCTGGTAAGAGAAGATTATTATAAAGTAAAGCTGCCCCCCATTGCTTGGCCTCTTCTACAGTGGCCATTTCTCTATTTCTGCATCAATTTGTGATGCAGACAGGGAGTTTGTTGTGACACTATCATGTTTTTTCAACCTCAGCAACCAGAATTGTGAGATACATAAACTTCTTTACTTGATCCAAATGCATAGGCTCTGGTAATTTGTTATGCTAACAGAAAATGGATCGAAATGGTAATCAAATGGCCCTGTGTCGTATATGGGTGGCTGTTATGTGGCATTTTTCCCTTCTTGTTCAATCCCTGTAGGCAGCAAACATCTATAAATCTCCAAAGACAGGTGTGTTGCATTGAAACATTTATAAACAGCCCAGACATTTACATTCTAAGAGCAATAGGTCTGCTGTACTATGAACTAAGATTATTTTATGTATCGGCATTACCTAATCCATAATAATGGGTGGTATTTGACTTAAATAGCTCTAATGACAGCTCAACACCATCTGACTTTAATGGAATGTTTTGGGTCTTGTTACTCACAAAATTACCCTGTCTTGCTGTTATTCCACTGGACATAATTGAGATAGCTATTATAGTATTTTAGGTGTTGGTGTGTTTCTGAAAAGGAATGAGGTATCTAGAAAATAAGAGGCTTTGGTATTAATAAGCAACATCATTTATGGTACAAATGTTTTATTTCTGACCTCCAGCTTTTTGGAAGAGGAAAATATACTCTGAATCAGCTTGCTTAATGTAAAGATAATCACTTTATTCATACTTCCAGCATAAAAATGTAATTGGAACTTTGAGATAAAGATGTTGACAGGGTTCATCCCCTAACAGTGCCTAGTGCATTCTCTTTTATGACATCATTGTGCCATTCGCAGTGCCACCAGAAGGGTGTCAGTCTTTGAAGACTGACGCTAACTAGCCAGGTGGTCTACTTTTACCATGGCAAGTTGGCAAACTCATGCCACTGAGTTCATCAGGCAGACTCCAGACACAAGGTTGCTTTCTTTCAGCAAAAGGAAAAGTGGAAGTGGTTCTAAAAAATGTTTGTCCTTGGCATCATGACCCTATAGTGGGCATAAAATTCTGTCTTGTTTGGAATCTCAGCTATAGTCTCCCTCTCTCTCTTTCTCCCTCTTCTCTTTCCCTTGTTTCTCCCCTCCTGTCAGGACTCCTAGAGCAGTTTAGCTCCATGTGTCTTGTGTGAATTATTCTTTCCCCTGTGTTACATGCTTCTTCATGTATGTGTCTTATGACAGCTTCTCAAGGACAAGCCTGGGAAGAGCTAGTCTCTGACTGGCCCATAGCACAGTCCATCACAAAGGCTCACATGAGGCAACTTCGGACACTACTGGAGAAATAAATGAGTGTGTCCAGAGACTAAGTGGATCAATATAGTCAATTTCAAACATTTATGTTAGCAGAAAATTGGTTTTTAAATTGAAATATTACATGGAAATCATGTAAAAATCATGTATAAAATTGATGTGTAATCCGACTGCAGCTGAGCATGGAGTACAGTTTCACTGCTTCTTTCTTGCTGACCTAAATCGTGAATATCAAAGCATTTTCAAGTTCTATCTCTACTCATTGTATACAAGCTAGATGTGATGCTCTCTCTCCTTCCCTCTCTCTTTATCTCTCTCTTTTCAAGGTCTTCCTATGAACTGGCAATCTGGCTGCCTCATCCTCCCATGTGCTAGGATAACAGCTGAGTGCCACCATGCTCACCTAGCTTTAGGCTATTCTTGCCATAGAATTTGAACAGAAATCATGTATTGCAGCTGGATCTTCAGTTAATGAGAGAGAGTAGTTCATGTTTGCAAAACAAAGGGAAAAATAGGCTGCATGTGCTCAAAGGTATATTTCATCAACATTCTACCAAGAAGGCAACTGAAAGATGTAAAAACAACTCTAAGTGCAAAAACCTTGCTTTGTTGCTCCTAGAGGTGATGCTAATGAACTCATCTGATACTCATTCCTTGCTGATGGTTGGCTGTCTCAATAATTTTGAGGTGTGATTTGACAGCAAAATCTTCCCGAAGTTGGTTGTTTTTAGGATTCTGCTAAGTGGGTTTTACTTTTTTCCTTGGTGACTCACACTCTTATTTGGCACAATAACACATCCATTAAACAATTATTTGAATTAAAACCTTGCTCTTGTGGGTGCTGGTGCCTTAGATGACAAACTTGATTATCAATTTCTTTCATGGTTTCATTCCCAAGGTGAGGTTAAGCTAAGGCTGCACAGGCAAGGAATAAATTGAAAAAAATGAGACAGATACTTCCGAAAATTGTGCTCTGCATAATAGAAGACAAATACAGGATTTAGGAAGTCAATTCACTACCTCCTACCATCTGTATCTACACGGCTTCCTCCATCCCACCTGCTCTTGCAGCTCATGCAGTAGTGATATTTCACTATTGTTCAATCTAAACGACATGCATTTAGTCTTATTATATCCTGGCTCAGTTGTTTTTTATTTCCTGCCTTCTTTAAGCTCTATCTCCTCCCTTTATTTAAAATTCTTGCTCCCACCTGAACCTTTGATATTCTATGAAGTGACTATGCAATGTGTGTGTGTGTGTGTGTGTGTGTGTGTGTGTGTGTGTGTATTTCTAGCCACTGGTTTTCAGAAATTGTGGGGACCTAAAGGCCCCACCTTGCAGAGGTCTGAGAGGAAGTCACTGGGGTGAGGCCTGACTTGTTTTGAAAGTCTGAAGGATACTTCTGCACTGCTGAGGAGTGCATGATCAGTGCCTGAACATCCTTAAGATACACCCTCAGGGGGGAGGGGGATTTCCAGATGCCTTTATAAGCTCTGTAACACCTGCAATAAATGAGTCCCTGCTTGACTAGGCTCCCCATTGCGCCTGAGTGTTCCTGGTACTGGGGGTGGCATGGGCTGGCGAACGGCGCGCTTACTCATCCCCAATCATCATTACGTGGGGGTCGCTGGTTCAAACCCCCCCCACAAGAAATCAGGAGGAGGAGGGGAAGGATACAATATGGAGCATCCAAGAACTTGAGTTGTGATTGCTTCATGACCTTACATAAGTCACATTTCTTATCTCAATCAATTCCAATTCTTCCTGTATAACAGTGCTTGAGTAATCTTTCTAAAAAGTATCGTTAATTATATAAATACTAACTGAAAGCTATAATATTAATATATACTTCCTATTCTATCAAGTCTACCAAACCCTCTATCATCTGGGCACTTCTTACCACCATTATGACTGCTATAATGCTCATCTTGTGCTTCAGAAGGGAAACACTCCTTAATGTTCTTATCACATTCAATTGCATCTATTACATATGTGTCATTTCTTTGTTCGTAGACCCTATCCTATGTTACCTATCCTAATGACATCTAGCTTAAGTCCTGCCTCTTCCTTACATCTCTCACTAGCACTTCCTCCCTTTTATTGATATACTCAATGTTTAAGCATTAATACTAATCACACACTTAACATGTGAATCATACAGTGCTTAGTACAAGGCCACACCTACTTTAGCCATGTAATTGCTACCATCCCCCTTTTTTTTGGTCTTTTTGAGACAGGGTCTCCCTGTAGCATCCCTTTTAGGGTAATGCGAATAGCATATTATGTGTTGGACTTAGGTACTTTTCTTAACTTTCCCTACAATTGTGAATTCTCTAAAGGTAGAGAGCTGCATTTACTTATCTTTGTATCTCTCCACAGTACTATGTTTAAATTATACCCTCAGGAAGTGCTATCAGAATTGAACATATTGACTGAAGACTTGCATTTTTTCAGGAAAACATATTATTTAGGCACTAAAGGCTGGCTAATGTAGGTAAGGAAGTAAAAGGAAGACTATGACAACACTTCAAAAGGTGAGTTTTTTTAAGTGCTGAGGACATGGATACTCTCAACTTGTTTATAAACATTGGAACAAGTCACTAGCAGATAACCTAGCTACACAAAAGACTAGCCCCTCTCTAACCCAGTATATTATGTTTGATGCTTTCTGGCTTAGGATTTCTACTCTTGAGAAAAGGAAAGCAACAAGAGTGATAATGGGTTGTTTATAGGCCAGTAGTCAAAATGCTAGGTAGAGGTGATAAAGGGGAAGACGTTAAATGCTTATAGACAGAATACACAAAGGAAGAAATTTGGTCCCAGAATGTAGAAGCTATGTTAATAATGTCAGTATACCATTGCCTTTAGTATATAATAGTATTCCTTTTAAAAGGGGGGAAAACTCCTTTTAAGTGTAGTGCTTGAAAGTCTTGCAAGAGCAGTAAGACAAGAGAAGGAAATTAAAGGAGTACTAAATGGAAAAGAAGAGCTCAAATTATCTCTACTTGCAGATATGATATTATACATAAGAGATCCCAAAAATTTTACTATAAAACTCTTAGAAATGATTAATACTTTCAGTAAAGTGGCAGGTTACAAAATCAACTTATAAAAATCAGTAGCCTTTCTATATACCAATAACAAGCAATCATAAAAAGCATTCAAGGAAACCCTCTTGTGCACAATAGCTTCAAAAAAATAAAATATTTAGGAAGAAACCTAACCAAAGACATTAAGGATCTCTACAATGAAAAATTCAAATCTCTAAAGAAAGAGATAGAGGAAGATACTAGGAAATGGAAAGACCTACTATGCTCATGGATTAGTAGAATCAATACTGTGAAAATGATAATCTTACCGAGAAATTTATAGATTCAATGCAATGCCAATCAAAACACCCACAATATTCTTCATAGAGCTTGTAAAATCTTCTTAAAATTCATATGGAATCACAAAAGACCCCAGATAGTCA